TGACAAAAACTTGCTGAAGCGACTTTAATTAAGAATGTTATGAGTTTTTTTCACAAATGATTAGTCACTGCGTACAACATCATTCAGAGAGAATTGTCCTTTTTCCTTGGACAAGTTATCAAACATCATTTTCAATAGCGTGATCTTGTGAGGGCGTCACACGACTGAGCGTGGCATATAATGCGTGCCAATGGCACCTTGATGTTTTTGGAAGACCTGTTCAATGATTCCTTGATTTTCGTAGTCCTTCAGGACCTTGAAGCACCAGTATGAGTTATCTCGATTAAGTCTCGGCTGATTCTGTACGGATGCTGGGTTCTTCATAGTGACGTAATATATGATTATCCTCGACTTTTGAGACCCCCTCCCAAATACTACTACCACTGGCCTCGAAGCGGCGAGGGAGCGAAACGGAAGGAATTCTAACAGGTAATCACCGCCTCAAATGGGCTAGCTACCCGAGGACCGGTACAACGGCTTCAACACGCACAGTGAGGGTCCGGAGCGGCGCAGATGGAAGCACGAGCTCTAAGTGCACTGGAGCAAACGGCGACCTGAAGGGACCTGTAGACAAACCGCCGCAGGATTTGGAGTGCACAGAACGAAAAGCATTTGAGGCATGGAGACTGCCTACGAATTTGCACCTACAACTGCCGTACCATTGCCTCAAAGGCGGACCAAAATATCCTGAATGAGACCAGCAAGAGGCTTTACTACGACGTCATAGCTCTTCAGGAGAGGAAAACCAAGGAAACGGCCATCAAGAAGACCAATGACGGGCACCTCTTCGTTCTAGTAGAGAAAGTTGATGGAAAAAACGTTGGATTCGTCGGATTCTTAGTCCATCGTCGGATCGAACATCTGGCCGACTCAATCGCGACTGGCCATTCTCCGCCTACGCATCGACAAGCGCACCACAGTCAGCATCATTAGCTGCTATGTGCCAACGTCAACAGCAACCGACAGAGAAAAAGACGCTTTCTTTAAGAAACCTGGAGGAGGTTACAAAGAACGAGCGATCATACTACAATTACGTTGTTGGGGACTTCAACGCAGTCATCCACGAGGAGAGACCGGCAAAAACACGCACTGGTCCACATGGAATCGGAGAAACGAACGAAAATGGAGGGCGATCGATGGACCTTTCAGAGGCGTGCAACCTATTCCACGGAAACAGCTTCTTCGTGAAAAAGGAGGGTCGGCGTTAGACATGGGAGAGCCCTAATGCAGCAACTCGTAGCGGAATCGCCCACGTTATCACCAACAGAAAGTGGAGTCTGCTGGACGTCAGTGTGGTAGAAGCGTTCCGCACCGGAAGCGACCATAAGCTCGTCAGAGCTAAAATCCGCCTACGAGCAAAACTTGGACGACGTGATCACTTCCGGCCTCCTTCCATACGACGACAGCGGTATGACACTAGCGCTATGAAGGTGGCAGTTGTTTAGTATCCGTGACAGGAGGCACAGGACTTGACACGCGATTACGACTTGCTTGTAGAAGGACTTCTACACTGCTCAACGACATCGGCTGTTTCAGCAAGGGTCAACTCGAGGAGCAGGATCGATGGAAATGCTCGCACCCTCCTCCAACAACGGGCTGCCGTTTACCGTAACTCTGCATCTTCATTTCTGGAACGTGCTACGATCAATAAAGCGTGCCGCATCGCTGTGAGAAAGTCGATACAGCGATACAAAGATACCCGAGAAGGAAGCAGCAGAGCGAGCCTCAAGCGATGTCGTGAGGACCTTAATGACTCTGGCTCGATCATCTCAGTTATGAGGGATGCGATGGGCAGACCGCACACATCGAGAACGAAGATCGAGGAGATTGCCGTCAGCTACTATACGAACCTCTTTCGGTCGACGGTATCGGTTTCCCGTATTCCTACGCCAACACAAGAGGTGGCTCCGAGGATAGAAGAATGGGAGGTAGATCGCACTACACGTCAGATGAAACCGAGAAAGGCACGTAGACGGGACCGCATATCAGTGGACTACTTGAAATCGGCGTCTCACACCATCATCAAGCAGCTCACCAAGTGCTTTAACAATTACCTGGACGCTCAGAGGATTCCGGACCAGTAGAAGAAGTCAAATACGGTTCTTCTGTTCAAGAAAGGAGAGCGCAACCAAATGAAAAACTACCGTCCAATCGCGCTTCTCTCGCAGCCGTACAAGCTGTTTACTAAGATCACTCCAAACAGACTCGAAAAGCGATTGGACGACTACCAACCAGTCGAGCAGGCCGATTTTCGCAAAGGCTTCTGCTGCATGGATCATATCCACACTGTCACGCAGCTGATAGAGCGGACCAGGGAGTAAGAACAACCACTCCTTCTCTGCTTTATCGACTGCAAAGGCATTCGACAGTGTGGAGCTCAACTCTGTCTGGAACGCATTGCACTATGCAGGAGTCGATCCATGCTACATCAACCTGCTAGAACTATGTAATACAGACACATTTACCTCCATCCACATGTTCCAACGAGAGCTTCGCGTGCCGACTGAGAAGGGAGTCAGGCAGGGTGACACGATATCTTCTAGGCTATTCACCACCGCACTTAACCACGCGTTGCTGCAACTGGACTGGGACGATAAAGGCATCAACATCGACGGAAAGAAATTATCCAACTTGCGCTTCACAGACGATATCGTCCTCATCAGCCAAAACCGAGAGGAGCTGCAGCAGATGGTGGAGGAGTTGGACGACGTCAGCAGAGCCATTGGCCTCACGATGAACAGGAGCAAGAAAATGGTCATGCGAAACGAATGAGTGGATGCGTCACCCATCACACTCGAAGGAGCCACGTTACCGTTCACCGACTCCTATGTGTACCTCATCCGTCTCACTTACATGGACAACAACTTGTGTGCAGAGATTATAAGGCGCAGGGGATGCGCGTGGGCGGCAATCGGAAACATAAAAGAAACGGCTCACCTCGTATCGGACAAGAAAATACGAGCTGACCTCTTCGACTCTACGGTATTGCCTGCACTCTGTTAGGCATCCGAGACGTGGGCGGAGAACGAGACGTCAACGCTGATGTTGGTTCGCGCACAAAGAGGCTGTTGAAGATCAACCGCGCAAAGCAGAGAAGTCTCAACCTTCGCAGCGCAGACATGCGCTCAATGTTACTACTTGGATAAAAATTGGATACTTACTTGGATACTTGGACGAGCGTCCAAGTATCCAAGTAAGTATCCAGTTTTGGAGACATTGCACCGCAAAGGAATTGGTGCTGTGGAAACGCTGGGATACCAATCCACAGAGTTCTTTGCGGAGAAAATAAGCCCATGAAAGGTGTATGTCTATGGGTCGCGTGTCCAAGCAAGGAAGCTGTAGCGGCATGTTTTTATACACTACTCCAAGATAGAACGCCTCCCCTCCTTGTAAGTGGAAAAACCGAGCTGTCACCAAAGGATGCGCCACAAACTATACCCAAATTTGAGCTTCTAGAGCTACTTATCTGAGTCTTGGAACTTCTGTTTTATGGGGTATGTACTACCTCATTAAAGAATTAGCGATTGTGAACGATAGCGCCGCTCGCGAAAAGCATGCAGGTGGCATGGCTCGGCCTTTGTGGTCGTTGCCTCAAGCCAGCTCATGCCAAGGATGACGACAGGGGAGGAGCTCAGGTCGGTGCCGTTCATGGTTCGCATTATCAGAGACTGCATTTCCACATTTTCTTGTGTTGAAGTTGTCAACATATTTGCTAGCAATCTCTGGGGACGATAAGGTTGAGATTGCCAAATCTCAACCTTATCTTTCCCATTGTGGCATTGTTTCCTGGGATTCAGCTGCAAGAAGATTTTTCCAGAAGTGCTGTCAAATCGTTTCGGTATTCACTAGGCCTGTTGATATACGGTACAGACGCACGATATCGTCTACAAGACAGAGGGTGCATCGGCCCAGTCCTCTCGTCAGTGCCTTACCCTACCCATTGAAGAGAGAAATTAAAAGTCAGAGCGAGATGATCTATCTAGCTCTTTTCTTCACCTCGGCAACGAATTTGATGTGAGGCAATAAAACACTAGTTGCGAGTATGTTGTAGCCCTCCTAGAGTATCTTCATATGTTGAGCAGAAACAGGCTGATCGCTCAGAGCTATTATAATTTCCTCAGACCGATATGTGTGAAGCAGGACATCATTTTGAACTCCCTTCTGAATCGTGCATGCTCGTTTGGCTGTTGGACAACTCATCCTCATCGTAGCCTGAGGTTAAGCCTGTGTATAGACGTCGAGCAATACCTTTGGAGCACAAAGGTCCCATTCAGATGTGAGGCTATCATACGATTCCATGTTCACAGCCGAGTGCGTGTTGGAGAGGATAGCTTTACTGCCGTCACCTCGCTGCTCCATGTCAGAAGAAACAGTCCTTGCATACAAAACGACATGTGACATTTGTCTCCTCGTCTTGGCCGGTCTGACAACACTGTAGTCGAACACCCTTTCCCTCAAAGTCATTCATTCGAGTTTGCACTAATGAAAAAACTCCCGAACACTTCACAGATTAGACTTCATTTACTTAAGATTCTCGAAGGAGCTCCTCTCTCAGCATCATGCCAATTAATTCACACCCTCACAGCTTTCGAGGTACTCTCTTGTATGGAACTTCGAACGCATGTCTTGAGGGACAGCATCACAGCGGTCGCTAATCAAAAAACAATAAGACGCGATCAAAAAAGGTAAGGGTGTGTTGAACGGTAAGAGTGGCGTTGAAGTGCTGTCAACATGTTGAATGCGAACACAATCGAGGCTGAGTGAGCTAGATCACGCTTGACAAACGTAGGAAGCGGTAGGATGCTTGTAGAGTGAGCCGACCCGTTTTCAAATTGTGGTACTCACCATAAATACCCAACAGTCAAGGAGCAAATCCGTTTCGAGACCTCAACGCCTCCTTCGGTCATCGAAGTAGCCCTATTTTGGAAAACGGGTAGAAGTCTCACTAAGTTGCGCACCCTGACTTGTGAAAGTTTGAGCGCTTCTGGAGTGGAAGTATATCATACCACGCGGAGTGCTTCAGCGTACGCTGTCATATCTGTCATAACAACCACCACATGTCGTCCACATTGATAAGCCAGGAACTCAGCTGCAGTCAGTGCCATTCGCGGTGTTAGTACTCTTTCAATAATAGGATCACTAGCCGTGTTCAGATACATGCACACATTTTGCATGTCTCCTGAAATGTGCGAATTTTGGAAGGAGGGTGACCAGTTATGATAACATTCTGAAGAACACCATAAAGAAACGAACACTGTTCTAGACGTTCCCTCAAAGAGCAAGTGCTAGTATTCAGACTAGTGCAAGGACTAACCTCGTTCTTCGAACTCTTGTTTGAAAAGCCTGGCCGTTGCCATGTTCACTCCCATAGCGGCAAAAATAACTGCGAACTCATGCATTATATCTTTTTCAAAAAGTCCTGAATAAATGCACATGTGGTTTCGTTTCTATATTTTTAATTTAGATATCTAATTTGGTCCGATATGAACAAAAGCTTTCAATTCAGCCATTACAATCATTGACAGCAGACCATGACACCATTCCCGATATAGGTTCCGTAACATCTCCACGAAATCACTGCTGCTATGGTTTGGCGCCGCAGGCCGATACCTATCTGAGGCATGTTCTCATCCATTGCGCATTCGCATACTTGAACCTTAAATTAGCCTAATCAGCATGTTCCCACGATTCCACGAAAACACCATTTTCCCGTTCACATAACTGCAATATAATTGTTGTTAGACAGTCAACCTATTGCGTCTGCTATTCTTTAATTATCCTTATACAGGGTGGCTGCAAAGTATGATCCGCCATATCCCACGTCGCTTGCTAACCTGTGAATCTCTGTTTCAGCTTTCAGCAACATATGCACTGGATAAAGCATGTCAATCATTAGGAGTACCTTGGAGAAATGCAACCTTCTCCTGATCGCGCCGCCATCGCACATCTCGTGGACGAAGGATGTTCCACTGCGGAGATTACAAGAAGGCTGCACATTAATGATAGAACGGTCAGAATTGAGGCCCAGTACAGGGAGCGTGGACACCATCTACCACTTCCAAAATCAGGGCGACCAAGAGCTGTCAATGTTCCTCGGATTCGGAAGGTGATCAAGAAGAGGATCTCACGCAAGGATGAGGTTAGCATGAACAAAATTGCTTCGGATTTGCATATCTCACGAAGAAGTGTTTAAAACAATGAAATGAAATGAATTGAATGAATTAAAACAATGAAACAATGAAATGTGGAATGTGAACTAGATTTACACAGTTACCGCTTCTTCCAGGGCCAGATGTTCAGCGAAGAAGCAAAGAAGAGTAGACTGTCAGGGGCTTCTGGCAGCAGTTCCTACAGGCCGTCTCTCGGACATCGTCTGGACAGACGAGAAAATCTTTACGGTCGAGGTCGCGCACAACAGCCAAAACCAGCGGCAGTTGCTACCTCGGGCAGAGAAAAACTCCAGAAAACGACGAGTATGACCCGGGAGTCTGTTCCCGAAGTCGGTGATGGTATGGGCCGGAATGACATCAGAAGGCAAAATACCTCTCGTTTTTGTTGATAAAAAGATCAAAATCAACTCGAAAACTCACCAGAATGTTATTTTGAGTTTTCACTGTTGCAATGGGCCCGAAATCAATTGGGAGAACTTTATCTTGCAACAGGACTGGGCACTGGCTGGCACATGGGAAGAAAGTCGCGATTCTGTTCTGCAGGCATCATTTTCCTGGATTCTGGGACAAAGATATGTAGCCATCTAACTTCCAAGACCTCAATCCGATGTACGACTCCGTTTGAAGCTATCTGCAGCAGGAGGTGTCTTCTTCACTCCACCGCAGTTTAGACAGTCTAAAAGCAGCTCTCCAGAAGTAACGGCAGAAAATTGATGTTGACTACTTGCGGCCCACCGTGGGAGCCTTTACGAAGAGATTGGAAGCTTGTATTCTGGCCAAAGGCGATCATTTCGAACAATACCCCGAATAAATGTTCCTTTATCCTAGACATACCATTTAACGAAAATTCTCGAAAAAATGTCTCCTATTTTTTTACATACGAATAAATACCGGACCATACTTTGTAGCCACCCTGTATATAACGCGCTAATGTCTGTGTATTTGCGTGTGTAGTGAAACGGAATTCATAACTCCCGTAGACCTAGAGCGCTCAAATCTGATAGAATTACAGGTGGTAGGATGGGAACGCTGGGTGGCAGGGTTTAATTCTGCTCACAGGGAGCGGTGTAAAACGAAATGAATGTTCGGGCGGGAATCCGTATCTCCTGTTTTCCATGACTTAGAAAGTTCAAATTTGGTGGGAGAACAGGTAGCAGGGATTGACCTGGGGCGGAGTGCATGAAAACTGGCAGATCAGACCTGAGCATTCAAGTTTGCTGGAATTAGAGGCGGCAGTGTGAGAATACTGATAGGAGGTGACATGAGTTACCTCGGTCCACAGAAGGTGGAGCTTACGCAAAAGTTGCTGATTCGAGCCTGGGTAGGGGTTCAATTTTGGAACGAGTGCAGGCGGCAAATTCAAGACAGTATGGCAAAGGCAAGTAGTGGAAAGATGGAAAGTGGCTGAGCTGGCTGCAGCCTGAGGAGCCGTAGGGGGGATGTAGGGGCGGACCATGAGTGAAATAAGCGTAATTTGAGTGAAAACACGCAGTCGAGCTGGGTTAAGAGGGAATGAACCGTATACCAGAAAGCACAGAACTGGAGCAGGACTTCGCCCCTTTCGTGCAGCTCGCACACGAAGTGTTTCGGTGCGTGTGTTTTGCTGTAAATCAAAAGGTCCTGTTTTGCCAAGCTTGTATCAGGCTCGAGTCGCTGGGCTCAATGTGTAGCGATGGCGCAACAGGCAAAGTAATCTTTTAGTCTGACGTAATGGCTTGCGTCCGGTGTGCGTAAACTTGCTTTGCACTTCTGTGAAATCTCTGTTCAGGTCTTGCAAAACAGTTTCATTGATTGACGGCAGCCCTTCCTAGTCATAAAGAACATCGGAACGTCTTTCTTTAAACAAATGCCAAATTGCCATTAACGTCCTTCCAGAACCTCCAAAACTCCCGATGCAGTATAGTTGTTAGATTTGTTAATGTTTAAAAATACCTTCTCAAAACGGGTCTTGTCTGTCAGTTAGCTCCTTCAGCTTGGTACTTTGTACTGTTGCGAGAGCGGAGTCTTTTATAACAAGTGCAGTGTCACCACTTTCAGGGAAATGGGCCTTATTAGATCACCAGTCGGGCCGCCCGGCTAACGCCGGGCTTCCCTCCTTCTTAT